CCCCAGCCACCAGCGTGAATTTCAATGACCTCGTACGCAGATGACTGTACGATATTGACCTCTCCGATCTTTCTCGCTTCTTTTCTGCAAGGAACCTAACACTCTCCCCCACTAAATCCACAGCGACCATCTTCACTAATTGGACGAAGGAGTACAGACTGGACCTGAACATTTCAGTCGATGGCACAAAAATTCCGACAGTAAATAACCCTAAAATTTTAGGCGTCACTTTGGACAGTCTGTGCTCTTTCACTCCTCATACGACCGCGATAACTGCCAAAGTACAGAGCCGCAACAAAATCCTCAAGTCGCTTGCCGGCAGCTCATGGGGAAAAGAAAAGAAACGTTGTTGGCAACATACAAGGCAATCGGCCGGCCGGTCCTCAATTATGCAGCCGCAATATGGTCGCCTGGATGCAGTGACACGCAGAATAAAAAGCTCCAGACTTGTCAGAACACTGCACTCCGGACTATCACGGGATGCCTCTTGATGTCTCCAATCGAACACCTACATAGCGAGGCCCGTATGCTTCCGGTTTAGGAACATAACGAGCTCCTCTCCAAGCAGTTTCTGCTGGGATGTTTTCGCAGAAACCACCCCTGCAGTCGCCTGCTTGTAGCGGAGCAGCCTCCTAGGAACATCAAGAGGTCCTTCCTTGACTATGTCGATGACATTAGACAGCACGCCGACCAGACTTCGGACGCAACTAACTTCAGACAAGCACTGACCGCCATTTACAGTGGAGCCATTAACACCTTCACCGACTCCCTCTCAGTGAATGGCGTAATACGAGTCAAACCACCACCCATTGCAGACACAGAACTCGAGTTGCCTCGCGAATCTAGAGTGACCCTCGCGCAACTTCGTTCTGGATATTGTAGCAGGTTAAACTCCTACCTATCCAGAATAGACCCTGACATACCAAACACATGTCCTGCATTCAATGAGTCTCCGCATGACACTAACCACCTCTTTGCATGCCCAACAAACCCCACTCATATAACACCCTTCTCCCTATGGTCCGACCCCGTCGAAACAGCTCGTTTCCTGGGCCTTCCGTTAGATGACCTCGACGACAACGAATCTAGAATTTATCACCCAAACGGGGATTAGATAATCGTTACAACAACAACAACAACAACCATCAGAGAGTCCGTGGAGTTCACCTGTAGTACTTGTGAAGAAGAAAGATGGCAACATGAGATTTTGTGTGGACTATAGAAGGTTGAATAATGTAACGGAGAAAGACAGTTATCCACTACCTAGAATCGATGACACACTTGACTCGTTATCAGGCACAAAATGGTTCTCAACACTTGATTTAAAAAGTGGTTATTGGCAAGTGGAGGTAAACGAAGAAGACAAAGAAAAGACGGCTTTCAGCGTTGGAGATAGTCTATGGCAATTTACCGTAATGCCCTTTGGATTATGTAACGCTCCTGCTACTTTTGAAAGACTTATGGACCAGGTACTAAAAGGATTACACTGGAAGACCTGTTTGGTATACCTCGACGATATCATCGTGTTGAGTAAAAGTTTCGATGAACACCTTAAGAACTTGGAAGGGGTTTTCCAACGAATAGCTAGCGCTGGTCTGAAGCTGAGTCCAAAGAAGTGTTCCCTTTCAAAAAGAAAGTAAGCTACTTAGGACACAAAGTGACAATGGAGGGCATTTGAACAGCTAATGAAAAGATCGAGGCAGTAAGAGATTGGCCCGCTCCTAAAAATTTACATGAATTGCGGAGTTTCCTTGGACTGTGTATTTATTATAGACGATTCGTTCCAAATAGCTAGTAGCCTCCAAGAAGTCACGAAAAAGAACAGAGTTTTTGAATGGAATAAAGAACAGGAAGTGTCTTTCCAAACTCTGAAGAAACGGTTAGGTACTGCGCCAATGTTAGCATACCCGGTCAAACGATCAGCGATTATTTTGAATACGGCTGTGGGTTTGCAGTAGGAGCCGTTTTATCAGAAGTCATTGATGGGCATGAGAAAGTGGTTGCGTATTACAGCCAGACCATAAGCAAGCCAAAGAGAAATTATTGTGTGACTCGGAGAAAATTACTGGTGTTGGTGAAGTGCATCAAACATTTTCATAAGTACCTTTATGGCCAGCGATTTCGGGTGAGGACAGATCATGCAGCATTAAAATGGCTTCTACAATTCAGGAACCCTAAAGGACAGTTGGCACGGTGGATTGAGAGACTCCAAAGTTACGACTTCTCTATAGAACATCGCAAAGGTAGTAGTCATAGAAATGCTGATGCCATGTATGATGATGGAATGCAGACATTGCTCAAAAGCTGAGGCCCAAGAAGACATTATAGATGTCCGATTAATGACTATAACATCAGACTGGGATCCGGAGAGTCTACGGAAATGTCAGCAAGAGGATCCAGATTTGAAAACTGTAATACATGGAGTGGAGATGAATAAACGTCTAACGAGAGAAGAAAAAGCTGCAGAAAGCCCAGTCGCAAAGGATTATTGGGCACAATGGAATAGTTTGAAGTTAGTGATGGGCAAAGTTCACGAGCTCTGATGATTGTTCCAAAAGTAAGAATTCCTGAAGTTCTCAACGAACTGCACAACAGTCCAAGTGGAGGACACATGGGTATCACTAAAACCTTGGTGAAATTAAAACAAAGATTTTATTGTGTTGGTTGTCGTCAATCAGTTACGGAGTGGATCCCCAATTGTGTCGAGTGCATTGCTGCTAGAGGGCTGCGGTCCAGAAGTCATGGATGTAGCTGGTCCATTTCCTATCAGTAAATTAGGAAACAGATATGTTTTGGAAGTCATGGACTATTTCAGCAAATGGCCAGAGGTATACGCAATTCCTAACCAAGAGGCAGGAACAGTAGCGGGTGTATTCATCAACAATTGGGTATCGAGATATGATGTTCCAATAGAATTACATTCTGACCAAGGAAGACAATTTGAATAAGCTCTAATACAATAGATATGCCAGAAGCTGGGTATCCGGAAAACACGTACAACTGCACTACATCCGCAGCCCGATGGCATGGTAGAACGATTTAATCGAACTTTGGAAGAACATTTGAGGAAAGTTGTGGACAAGTATCAGAACGATTGGGATACCCATATATCCTTGTTCCTGATGGCTTATCGGTCTGTACATGAAACAACGGGGCAGACTCCAGCAAGGGTAATTTTTGGTAATGATCTTCGACTACCGATTGATTTAAAATTTGGAATTAACGGCAACAAAGGAAGGAATACTAAGGAATTCAATAGCATCCTAGAAGACGAGATGAGGGATATACATGCTATGGTGAGACAGCGCACCAAAATTATGACCGATAAGATGAAAGCAAAATACGACAAGGCAATAAACTCTGAGGGTTTTATTGAAGGCGATTGGGTATTGTTATATAACCCACAACAAAAAAAGGGCTGTCTCCCAAATTACAGTGTAATTGGGAAGGACCATACCAGGTTATTAAACGACTCAATGATGTAGTGTATTGCATATAGACCATTGGAAGACCAAGGAATAAAATGAAAGTGGTTCATTTGGAACGGCTTGCATCGTTTGGTACCGCAAATATGTCTAATCGGGACGATCAGACTTAGGTAGAGGGCAGTGTGGCGAACACGAGTACCAGAACAAATCAGAATTGACGATAAACTGCCAGAAGCAACCAGACAGCGAATTCGTAGTTGCCAGAATGTTCTAGTAGCGAACTTTTGTTAAAAATTTACTATATGAGGGCTGCTGGATTGTGCAGCAAGGACAGTTCTAATTAGAGAGTTGCCGTGTAAAGAGCAATCTAGCTATAAGCAGTAAGTTGTAAGTTCGAATAGCGAGCGTGTTAAGTGGTTTGAATTGTAAATAAAGATAAGTGTATAGCATTAAATTGGGACTTTAATTTAACAATCCAGTGATAAGCGGCCTTTACACGGTCATTTTTGTATGCAAACATGGTATGATGCAAAAAAAAAAATGGTTTTCGTTTAAACGGTCGAACATGCAATCATACTTTATTTCTCTGTTATTTGTGAACGAAGCAACATCAAGGATGAAATGAGAAGGATGACATGAAGCGAGACTCTCTCATTTTCGCTGATTTTTCTGTTATTCTCTTTCCCTGATTATTAAAATCAGGGAATTTCGAACAGCTGATGTCAAAAAAGGCGGGATGCCAGAAATAAACCCGCTAAAAATAGCTAACAAAAGCAGTGCGAAACGAAATTTCAGGGAACGACACAAATATTTTTGATCAACGTGCAACTAAATTTTATTTGCTAATTTAATTTAAAACGTTCATCATAAAACCATGATATTTTATTATGACTTGTATTGTTTCTTTGTTATAATTTTTTTTTATTTATATGTTTTTTCTTATATTATATGATTTTTTTTTTTAATTTATAAGCCAGCCATCCAGAACGCTTAGATAAATTTCAAAGAAGTCCTTCCACAGGTCTTCGTTTATACGTGACGTCATTACGCTTCAATGTTTGCTTACGCCTGAAAAAATATACTGCGTGCATGATGCAAGCGTTTACACCATAAAACACGTTCATAACAACATCATGTTTTTAAAAAATTTTAAAAACCATCGCACATGTATGACGAACACGAATTTATTATGTTTACACGCCCATTCTTCTCATCACGCCGCACATGCTTGCAAACATAATTGACCGTGTAAAGGCCGCTATAGAGCTCAAGAGTGAGTTATAGTTAGACGATTTATCGAGAAATCCGTTACAATATTAAGCAGGTAGGTATTACGCATATTGTTCTACCACATTCATGGTAATTCATAGCAAGCAAAATGTGAGTAAAGTGTCGCGTAGCCAAACCGTATAAACATTTGCCCAAATTTTATGAAAAATATTGACAGAAAAACTCGATTTGAGTTGCTGGAATCTTTTTGCTCGTGTGAATGCACAGAGCGAGACCAAAAGAGAATTTGCCGAAAATGTGGGTCAAAGGAGTCCCAGTGTAAACGCAGTAATATGAGCTCTTTGATTCGAGAGACCTGTCAAAACCCACACTGTATATAATAGTTGTCAATTATGCCACTGAGGAAAGAAAATGGATTGGGTATTTTAAAAATAACTTTTGGGCATTTTAAATTTCAATATAACTTATCATAATCATCATATTGTAACGGATTTCTAGATAAATCGTCTATTGCTCGTTATTCGAGCTTACAACTTCTTGCTTATGTCTCAATTGTTCTTATCACGACAACACTCTAACTAGAACTGTGTTTGCTGCACAATCCGGCAGCCCTTATATAGTAAATCTCTAACAAAACATTGCTTCTAGAACATTCTGGCAACTAACAATTCGCTAACTAGTTGCTTCTGGCAGTGTATCGTTGATTCGATTTTGTTCTATCATCCGTGTTCGTCACAATATTATGCAAATATTTCGCATTTATAACAAAGAATAGCAAACAAAGCTTAAGTTTCACGTTATTCGAAAATATTTATGTCATACCTTGAAATTTCGTGTGGCACTGCTTTTGTCAGGTACTTTTAACGGGTTTATTTCGAAATTCCATAATCTTCATAAACAGCGAAAGAGTATGAGAGAAAAATTGAGGAAAATGAGAAAATCTCGCTTCATGTCATCCTTGACCGCTTCTGCCGTCCGTGTACGTGGATATCCGCGTAAATTGGATTTTTGCCGAAGAAACGAGTCAGCTGATTGCTCTTATACAACACAGGGCGGCAGATATTTTGTAGTAATTAAGAAATAAACTTTAATATATTTTTAATCAAACTCAAAATCACAGAGGAATACAATTATTTATGGATAGTTTTTTAGGTAGTACATTATGAAAAATTATAACTGATAGGTTAGATGCGTGAAAAATCATGTATACAAATTGAGCAATGACCACATTGGTGAAATGAAAACAAAAGATAACAACTGATTTCGACGTTGCCCCTACGGGCATAACATTTGAGAAATTTTGTTAAATATGTTCGGTAAGGACGAAAGGGTGGAACGTCGGTGAAGCGTTGAAGCGGTGGTGAGCGTTCTTGAACATTGCGTTTTCATCAAATAGGTCGTATAAGCTAATGCGGTCTACGGTTTTGCGTCGGTAACTAAGTGAAGCATCAGAGATGATGTCCGATTTTTAGTGTCGTTAGTTAATATAGGTACGTGATAAAATAGTTCTAAATGGCAATGCTTTATGTTCGACTTTCGTATTTCAGTCAATATTTTCATTTTTGTTTCCAACCACAAGTATTTCTATCGAATTAAAGAATTGTAGCAAAATACATAAACTTTACTATTCAATGGTGATCTTTATAAATTGCGGAGCAATGATTTCATGGTAGCCTCTAATAATTTCGAAAAACGTGTAAATAATTAGAAAACTGATCGACCCACTGGCGTAAATTCATTCATACAAGCACTTTGAAGTACGTATAATTAAATATGTTTGATTTCTTTGATTATGATGCAAACGTGTGTGATCAGGGCTATTGAAAAGTGCAATGAAATTAATATATAAAGTGATATATATACCGAAATATAAGAAAACATAAAAATCTTCATCATCTTGAAGTCGAACATTCTCATGTGCGCTTTGGTTAAATCATATCAATTGTTTACAATGGTACTATGAACTATTTGTATGTATTATTCTGATTCAGCGATTTCTTGAGACTAAATAAGGCGTGCAAAATAACACACTCCTTTCTTGCACCATATTCTTTGACACAAAATATTTAAATTATTGCCCAAAAGTAAAATTTTAGTAATTATTATTAGCAGACAAAATCTAAATAGCTAAATTATTAAGAAACCTGAGGACTAAAAATATTTTCGGTCTACGGAACTTATAAATCTTTTGACCAATCTTAAGTTTTGTATAACACAGTCTTTTTACAAATCCAATGTTTATTTTCAGCGCCAAGAAATATCGATATACTTGTATGTAAGTCCGGTAAATGTATAGTTTAGCTCCCCCAACTAAATTAATGAAAAATTCACTTTCCGTTCACGTAAATGTAGTCTACGCAAAAATATTATACGATTTAAAAAAAAAAAAATATTTTTGACGCCTCCTTAGTTGGGGGACCTAAACTATACATTTACCGTAAGTCTGTGTTGTTGTTGTAACGACAGAATTCGGCCGAGTGGACAGTTCTTGGCCGGATAAAAATCCGGGTCCATTCCGGTTGTAAGTCTTTGTATTCTCCATCCGAACAGATAACGAATATACCAATCTAAAACTTTCGTGGCCTATTATTATCTTTTCCGTTCTTATAATAGATTATTTGTTATAACTTAATTAACTTTGGCCGTGATAAACTGCATGAAGTGTTTCATGCCTTTTAGGCGTTGCTATCATCCGAATCTGTGTATATAAACTGATCGCAAAGAAGTATTACTAATTAAATTTTTATATGGTGTATTTAAGGTTCGCGTTAAAAATTTAATTTTACAACAGTGTGCTAACTGTTTGTGTATATCAAAGGTCCCATAATTATGAGTGCGGACGGTTCTTCCATACGCTTCAGCGACCACACATTGGACAAAGCAACAAAAGCTAAAGTAACTTTGGAAAATTATTACAGCAACTTAGTAACTCAATACGGAGAACGCAAACAACGCCTAGCTAAATTAGAGGCTCAACTGAAGGATGAAAGCCTAACGGAATCACAAAGACAGGAGAAAAGGTTACAACATGCCCAGAAAGAAACCGAATTTTTACGTCTGAAAAGATTGCGTTTAGGAGTTGAGGACTTTGAAGCACTAAAAGTTATTGGAAGAGGAGCGTTTGGGGAAGTGCGACTAGTACAGAAGAAGGACACAGGGCATGTGTATGCTATGAAAGTGTTGCGTAAAGCAGATATGCTTGAAAAGGAACAAGTGGCACATGTCCGCGCTGAACGCGATGTTCTTGTTGAAGCAGACCACCAATGGGTAGTTAAAATGTACTACAGTTTTCAGGTGAGCTCTAATATCTTATACATACATTAAAAAAAATATAAATTCGAGAGGCGTTACAAGTTAAATGAAAGTATTTGATTACTTTTTTTTTTCAATTTGGTATGTTACTAGTTATTTTCAGGTTACGCGAAACCTCGTAGTGCTTATATGAGTTTAAGTCGATGAAGTTTACATGGCGTAAAATTTAACATATTTCAAATCTTTGAAATGTGTGCTGCTTTAGGGATATAAGTAATATTGAAGATCCCCTCATTTTTTTCCAGACGCTTTACGTTTTTCAGGAATAAATTCAATCAAGTTTTCTTACGACGAGTGCCAAGCACAGTCAATTATTAATTTATCTATGTTAAATTTTTAAACAAAAAATTTTATAAATAAATATTTGCCTGAAGGAAAAGTATTGTATAGTTTAAAAATATTATTTTAATACTTTTTAGTTCAGTCAACCATTGAATTAACTAAGATCAATTTTTAAAAAATATATTTTATTAATAAATATGTTATGTAAATTGCCAAAGTAATGTATAATTTGAAAATATTTAATCTTAATATTTTTTGATAATTACACCAAAAAGGATCCCGTAAATTTGTATTTAATTATGGAGTTCTTACCGGGTGGTGATATGATGACCCTCCTAATGAAAAAGGATACGCTCTCAGAAGAATGCACGCAGTTCTACATTAGTGAAACGGCTTTAGCAATTGACTCAATACACAAATTGGGATTTATTCATAGAGATATAAAGCCAGATAACTTGCTACTCGATGCACGTGGACACTTAAAGGTTAATTAAGTTTAAATAATTTTATATTAATATATATGCTTAACCCCCATACAGCTTTCTGATTTCGGACTCTGTACGGGATTGAAAAAATCACATCGCACAGACTTTTACAGGGACCTTTCACAAGCGAAGCCATCCGATTTTATTGGAACATGCGCTAGGTAATTTTATTTTATTGTTTCTATATGGTTATAGATATTTATTGTCGCTGAAAATTTTAAATTATAGTCCAATGGATTCAAAAAGGCGAGCAGAATCATGGAAACGGAATCGCCGTGCTTTGGCATACAGTACAGTTGGTACCCCCGACTACATCGCTCCTGAAGTATTCTTACAGACTGGTTACGGACCGGCGTGTGACTGGTGGTCATTAGGGGTAATAATGTATGAAATGTTAATGGGTTATCCCCCATTTTGCTCTGATAATCCTCAAGATACATATCGCAAAGTGATGAATTGGCGGGAAACGTTAATATTTCCACCTGAAATACCAATATCCGAGGAAGCAAAAGATACCATTGTCAAATTCTGCTGCGAAGCTGACCGTCGTCTGGGTTCACAGCGTGGTCTTGAAGATTTAAAATCTGTGCCGTTTTTCAGAGGAGTTGATTGGGAACATATTCGAGAGCGTCCTGCAGCCATCCCCGTAGATGTGCGATCTATCGATGATACCTCCAACTTTGACGAATTCCCCGATGTTTCGCTGGAAATACGTATGTTTAATATTATTTTATGTTCATATTTATTCAATATTAATCAATCTATTGCATACTTACAGCATCTGCCCCTATACCTCAAGGCAGCGAAATAGCTAAGGATTGGGTGTTCATTAACTACACATTTAAGCGCTTTGAAGTACGAAATTTGGAATAAAGTTGCTATCTGAGTACTGCTACGTAGAAATGATTATATTTGATTCAATGGTTTAATATCGATATTGAATATTTGAAAATTGTATTTATTGAGTTTCATTAGACTAGTGTGCATAAATAATTAACTTTATTAATACATAATCGTTATTTCATATCCAACCATATGTGTTAGTCTAGTGGACATTTTGTGATGATTATTTCAAATCATATTGTAAGTCTTGTTTAAAATATTTCTATTTATAAAAGTTATATATCGTCATGAAAAAAAACCCACCATAAGAATTCGAAATATAGTTTTTTTTTATTGATAATGATTCACACGTCATATTACATATATGTACAAATTTTAAGTTTCAGATATCACCATGTTATAACCAGATTTTGAATTTCGTTTCAATAAGAGTAGTTTCCATTTCCTGTGAACTTATGTAAATGTATTATTTAATATTTTAGGTCATGCTGTCTTCTATCATAGATTTTTCTTTGATGATATATATTCATACCTGAGGGCATGAGTATTTTATTTAATAATTCAAGATATATTATAATGTGTATTTACTGATAAAAAAATATGCTATGAACTTCGTAATACTTAATATAAAATAATGTTTAATTTTCGCCTAATTGCTGATGTTACGTATAAACACGTTAAGAAATTAATTCATTGTCCCAAAAAAGTTTTATATTATTTTTGGTAATGCATAGAAATAAACGGTAAAAATATTAACATAAATAACGCAATAAACGACGAATATGAATTTCCAAAATATAAGCCTTAAAGTATTTTCTTTAACTTTTCATTTGTATACAAATGAGATATTATTTATTTTGGGACATATATAAAACTTTTTTGGTATTAAAAAACTCAAACTTCTTCTTTAATTCATTCAATTAATGGAGCCCCGTCATTAAATTAATTCCAGTTGTAGAGGATGCAGCAGTTATAAGGCTTCAAACTCAAATCCTTCGACTATTCATAAATAGCTCCATTTCGTTAGCTTAAAATTTAATCAAACATCTCCGATTGTATGTTCGAACCATTATTAAAAATCTAGTCGTAGGGATTTTCTGCAAGGTGCTCATGTAACTCTGGAATTAATTTACATGTGTAGGAATTTTACTCAAGCCCGTTACGAGTTATGTTTTTAACGGACTGACGCACACAAGGAGATCTTGACATCGATACTTAGAGTGCAGTGATGATAACAAAATCTACCAACTTTGAAATGACATTTTTAGACCGAAGAAAAATAATGGTAAGAACAAATATAAATACACGAAGTTACACCCTTCTCTTAACTCACATACATCTAAATAATGGTAAGAACCAATATTCTTAAGAATTTCGGCTTGTTAAAATCATCTTGATCGTATGTTAACACATTTGAGAAAAAGCTTTTTGACTTATACTCGTAGTATATACAGTCAGCGTCAATATAAAGTATACAAATCTCATCTCAAATCGTCACATACATTTTTTTTAGTTTTTAACTCCTCTTCTTTTTTAAAAGATGCTCTTTTCTCAAAGAATATTTTATAATCTCCTTTTTAAACAAAAAAAAAAAACTCAAAATTCCAACAACAATTTGAGGTCAGCAGCAAAAACAAAATGCATCTCATATTTAACGCGTCAATATTAAGTATACAGCCTTGTTGGAAGGAAAAACTTTGAGAGAAATTGGTGACTTAATCAGCAGAAATCACAACACCGTAAAAAAAATTGTTGACAAATACAATAAGAGTGGAAAATTGCATAATATTGATCATCGTCGAAGACCACGACGGCTTAATAATACCCAAATTCGAAGTATAGTACGAACGGTGAAAGCGAATCCCTTTGAAAGTGCTGTGCAAATAGCGAAAAATGTGTCAGAATTATCAGGCGAAAGCGTAAGTGCCAGTACAGTACGTAGGGCCCTGCATGAAAATGGCATCTATGGTCGAAAGCCCAGAAAGAAACCATACATTACAGAGACCAACCAAAAGAGACGCCTTGAATATGCAAAAAAATATGAAAACAAAGATTTTTCTTTCTGGAGCAATATCCTGTTTAGCGACGAAAGCAAATTTGAGATATAATATTTGGCAAAAAAAGCTGTACAAATTTGGAGAGCCAAAAACCAGGTATTTGCAGAACAAAATTTGATTCCGACCGTTAAGCATGGTGGTGGCTCAGTAATGGTGTGGGGTTGTATGGCCGCAGGTGGAGTCGGAAACTTAGTGTTCATTGAGGGGACAATGAATAAGGACGACTACCTTGAGATTTTAAGGGATAATTTGTCACCCAGCGTTGAAAAATTAGGCTTGGATCAATCTTGGGTCTTTCAACAAGACAATGATCCGAAGCATACTGCTAAGCTGGTGAAGGAATGGTTACTGCACCGCACCCCAAAACAGCTCGATCATCCCCCCCAGTCCCAGGGTCTGAACCCTATTGAACATTTGGGGGAACATCTTGACAAACAAATCCGAAAAAGAACCATAACCAGTCAGGATATGTTAAGATCAGTTCTGGTTGAAGAGTGGGAAAAGATTTCATCAGAAGTTACAACGAATCTCGTGAATTCTATGCCGAAACGCTTACATGCCGTTATAAAAGCAAAAGGGAAGCAGACAAAGTACTAAAAAAATTTTTTTTCATAATAAGTATTTGTTGTATACTTAATATTGACGCGTTAAATATGAAGTATTTTTGGTTTTTAATGTTAATCTTAAGTTGTTGTTGGAATATTGTTTTTATTTTTTTCTATACTTTAAGCCCATTAAATATTGTTCTAAAAAACCCAACCTTAAAACACATAATATGTAAAATAAGAAAAAATAAATGCCACAATTAAAAACAAAAAAATTGTATGCTTTATATTGACGATCACTGTATATGTATATAAGTTAGATGTCACGTTTTCTCTAGGGCAAAATTTTGCACACTGTTTAGCTTGATCCGGCTTAAAAGATAGGTTAATTTATACCTCAATTATGGTAAAAATCAAAAAAATATATTTCTAAACAAAAACATTTGTTCAAAATTCAAGAAAAAATTTTTATTATAATTTTAAGTAAAATGCCAAATGCCGAAAAGAAAATCAAACTTCAACAATATCTCGAAGCATTCCACAGAACAATAAAAGATTTAAAGCACCCATTTTCATTGAGAAGTTCAATAGCATTTTTTTGACAGATCACGCATGAGTCAAACTGTCATATCATTTTTGTTCAGTATTGTTTGGTATTTCATCATGGAAAGATCTACGTCTGAACAACGTTTACAAATTGATCAAATTTATTAAGAAAATTCACGTTCTGTAAAGATTGTGTTTCGCGCGCTTTCCTCAACTTATTGTCAACATAATCGGCCTACTGAGCGCACTATTCACAACATCCTTACCCATCTTGACACCGGTAAATATTCGACCGAATATACCATGTCCAGCACGCAGAAAATATAGTGGCCGTAGCTGCGAGTGTACACGAAGACTGTGGAGAGTCAATTCGGCGCCGTTCGCAGCAACTCGGACTGAAGTATAGAACGCCTTGAAATATTTTTGTCGAGATCTTAAATTTAAAGCATACAAAATACAGGTTGTGCAAGAACCTAAGCCGCTCGGCCTTCCTAAGCGTCATCGCTTCGCTCTATGGGCTCTTGAAAAGTTCTAAGATGATCCGATGTATTCGAGCCAAATTTTGTTCAGCGATGATGCCCATTTCTGGCTCAATGGATATGTAAATAAGCGAAATTGCCGCATTTGGGACGAAGAGCAACCTGCAGAGATTCAAGAGCTGCCATTTCATTCAGAAAAGAGAACGGTTGGGTATGGTTTGTGGGCCGGTGGAATCATTGGTCCATATTTCTTCAAAAATGATGCCAGTGGGAACGTAGCCGTCAAAGGCGACCGTTATCGCGCCATGATTACCGCCTATTTGATGCCTGAAATTGAAGCTGGTGATTTCGGCGACATTTGGTTCCAACAAAATGGCGCCAATTTCCACAGATCGCATCAATCAATGGATTTATTGAGAAAAGATGATCAGATAATCTCACGTTTTGGGCCGGTCGATTGGACACCAAGATCGTGTGATATCAGTTACCAGTCGAAATGATCGAACAAGTCATCGAAAGTTGGGCTTAACGAATGAACCTTTTGAAATGTAGATTAGGTTAGGAGGTCGATCCCAAAAAGGATCTCACTTGGACAGCTTAAAACGCCGGTCCGTTGAGTTACCTAAAACTCTATTAATCTGGATCAAAAGATCCTTACAAGTCGACAAAACGCTTTGTGCCTATAACCAACTTGCTAAGACGGCCAATATCCATTTCGGCTAAGTATTCAGGTCCACCGAAAGTGTGATTGCCGAGATGTTTCAGTCTCAGCCTAGCGAAAGCCGGACAGTGGAGGAGAAAATGCCGGGATGTTTCCACCTCACCCTTTTTCATACAACTTTGCCAACTAGCATCGGGTAGTACTCTAAGCCGTACCGCATGGGTACCCATTGGACAGTGTCCAGTGAGAACTCTTACCATAGCGGTAAGATAAACTTTACTCAGGGCAAAAAGTTCCCCCGACCTCCTGCGATCTACTCTTGGCCAGAAGGATCTCGCGGTCGTACAGGAGTTGGTCGTCGACCAGCGTCTGATGAGTAAACGCGAAGCCCATTGATCCAAAGCTAGAACGCAAGACGTTAAAGGAGATCCAACTCGATCCCATTTCGAGCAAGGGTGCCCAGCTGGTTAGCTCATCAGCTTTGCAGTTTCCAGCGATTCAGCTGGTCTGATGTTGAAGTCGCCAGATGCTATTTCTAGTGAGGACAGACACTCCTTGACTAGCTACTTCTACCGCCACCTTGATCGCAGCCGCTTTCGCCTGAAAAACACCACAGTGGTCTGGTAGCCTGAAGCTAAGATTGGCCGAGAGCTCCTTGCAGAAAACCCCCCTCCAACCTTCCCTCCTAGCTCTGATCCATCCGTGAAAAAGCTAACGTTGCGCCTCTTCTCCAGCGGCTTCTTTTCCTCCACATGTTCCTCGTCGGAATATGAGCGGAGAAAGAGCCAACTCGAGTGACATCAGTGACGCAGTGATCTAAATTTTCGGGAATGCAGCTGAAGGTGGAAAGAATTTCTTGTTCGAACCTCTTCATAAGCCCAGCTTCCCTGAGCCTTAGAGCACACTTCGCAGCAATGCACCTACCGGCAATGTCCACAGGTGGTATGCTTAAAATAGCGTTAAGAGCTATTGTAGGTGTGGTCCGCAGTGCACCGGAGATTCCGATGAGCGCCCCTCTTTGGACCCGCTCAAGCTTTTTAGGCAGTGTGGACCTTTCGAGCGCCCTCCTCCAAACGAACACACCATAAAACATTATTGGCTTGACTTTGGTAGAGCCCGAACATAACCTTTGTAGCAATATAAGACGACCGATGCCTTCTTAACTCTCTCCTCAATGTTTGGTCCCCAGGAAAGTTTTCTACCGAGGATAAGCCCTAGGTATATCACTTTATCAACAGGTTGAAGACGTGAGATCTGAGATGTAGAAGTGGCCAACATTTGAAAGAGATAATCACCAAAAAATAAATGCCAAAGAATGTTCTTTCGAATGATAATAAACAAGTTTTATTAAATTTGAATTTTCTGTGTTTTTTTCTTAATAAAGGTAGGAAGCCCCGAAATGGATCATTTTTTATTTAATTATTATTATTTATAGCTAAAAACATAGGCAACAGAGTGATGAAGATAACTCAAACACTGGCTGCTAGAATAAAATCATGACTATTTCG